AATTCATTCCCCATAGTAATTCATCCCCCATATTAATTCATCCCTCATATAGTATTTCATCCCCCATAGTACTATTCCCCCCCAAGTAGTAAGCCAAGTCCCCCCTGTGTCAATTCACTTACCTTTGCTCCACGCGTTCCTCTCGCCGTGTTCCCGCGCCGTTCCGGTCTTCAGGGCGGACTGTGAGAGGAGCCTAGCTCCCCTCACGTTCGTCACGTTGCCCCGCCTACACACATCCTGACAGCCATCCTGACAGTATCACGCTCCACGGGCCGGATAAAAAGGTCCGCCGGGCCGTATACGGCCCGCGGGCCGTAGTTTGCCCATTGCTGGTGTATGCAGAGCCTGACTCTTGTTCCTGGTGATGTCCGGAGCTGTGAAGGTGAGTATCTTCTCTCTCGCCGGGGTGGGGGTGGGGGTTTCCAGTGTGTATGGGGCCGTGATAGTGAAAGGCACTCTTGGGTGGGGCTGGGGTGGGGTGTTGGTCAATGTCAGGCTCTTATTGTGGGGGAGGTAGGTGTTTGTCTGTGTCAGGGTCTCTCCCTGGGTGGGTGGGGGAGCTGATTTTTGTGTTGCCTAGGGCAGCACGAACCCTAAATACACCACTAGGCACAGGATACAGTATCTGGCACCATTAATCATAAACATCGGCAAGGATTCACAATAAGTTGCTCTTGCGGTGGATGCGTGATGGAGAATGTACTACCCCCGGGAGTAACTGGGCGGGTCAGTAGTGACCATTGCAGTGATCTCACGTACCTGTTTCCAGAAAAGATTGCAGCTTAGAACACGACCCCCAGATATGAAGCATTGCCCTACCTCCCTTTCGCAACGTCAGCAAGATCTGAAATCGTTGGGGAGAACTTATGTGGTAAGGCTGGAGTTTGGTACCATCTCGTGTAGTTTTTATAGCAGCACTCCTGGGTCGCAATCAGGGGCAGACTGACATCTCATGGGGCCCCCGGGCAATAGGAAATCATGGGGCCCCCAGGCAATAGGAAATCATGGGACCCCTGTGTTCTCGCTCACACTCAAACCACACCCAAAAAAGCCTATGAAAGGTACAAGGGGCATCTCATGGGGCCCCCTACTGACCCCGGGCCCTCGGGCAATGCCCGAGTGCCTAAATGGTCAGTCCGCCCCTGGTCGCAATATTTAGGGAGCCCTTATGGACCAATGAGCACATTGATTCCCTGTCAGTATTTGAGAAAGATACATCCATCTCTTGTTTCCATGCTAAGCTAGAGGAGCCTGAAAAAGCAGAAAGTTCCCCAAATTTTTATTAACCACTTCCCGACCGGCCGTTGCATATAAACGGCCGGACGGTGGCAGTGCAGGGTCAGGTGGCAGTTTATGAACGGCCTCCCCGCACCCTGCTTGTGCGCGCTCCCTGGGAGCGCGCAGCACCGCGCAGCACCGCGATCCGGTGCCCGCTGTGTCCTCTGGACACAGTGAAACACCGATCGTTGGACGGGACCTCTGTACGAGGTCCCGATCATGTGATCACTGATTGGCCAATCAGTGATCACATGCAAAGTAGTAAGCAAGATGTCACTTGTGACATCATTGCTTACTACGTGTGAAATCTGTGAATGATCACAGAGGTCACATGGTACAAGGCTATTCACAACAGCCTTGTACCATGTGACAAGGTGTGACCAATCACAGCTCACTCAGTACTTCTCAATGAGTGCAGGAATGTACACAGAGAGAAAGAGAAATGATTGATTTTACATCCTATATGGGTGTAAAAGCAATCAGTGTAAAAAAAAAAAAAAAAAAAATCTTCATCACCCCCCACAAGTAGTACAGTGTCACCATGGTGACACTGTACTGCTAGGGTGACAGTATGTAAAAAAAAATAAAAATAAATAAAAAATAATAATATAAAAAAAAAAAATAAAAATGTAAAAAAAAATGTTTAAAAATGATAATTTTTGGTTATAAACTAATTAGTTTTTTTGGTTTTTTTTACTAAAAAGATAACGGAATAAATTTTGGCAAAGATTTATGATGAAATATTATTTATTTACAAAATTTTATTAAAAAAAACACTTTTGTTCAAAATTTTTGGACTTTTTCATTTACATAGCAAAAAAAATAAAAATCCCAGCGGTGAATAAATACCACCAAAATAAAGCTTTATCTGTCTCAAAAAAATGGTAAAAAATTGATTTGGGTACAGTATTGCATGACCGCGCAATTGTCATTCAAAGTGTGATAGCGCTGAAAGCTGAAAATTGCCCTGGTCAGGAAGGGGGTAAAAGTGTCCAAGCTGGAAGTGGTTAAAATCTGTGCTCTCTTTATTAATAATGTACCTCCCTACTCATCATGTTGATAGATGTCAGAAGTAAAGGAATATTTCCTTAACGAGGACACAAGCAACAAATAAAACGTTTTTCCTAGAGTTGGGCTTTAACTTACATTTCTTCTGTCATGTTTAACCCCTTGACACCTAAGAGGGTAAAACAAATCTAAATGCCTAAGCACAATTTTGAAACCTTGACATGTGTTAGTAAAACCGTCCATATCATCACAACTACTTTGCACATCCAGGTGAATTATACCTTGGTTTTTTTGGGACAAATTGGGCTTTCATTTGGTGGTAAATGGTAATAGATATTTCCTGATTTCTTTTAATTATCAAAGGAAACTAGCCCAAAATAGTAAAAAAAAAAAAATTTTTTTTATTTAGCTGTGTTTCTTGTTACTACCAAAACCTACCACCAAAGAACAACCTAAAATAAATTCTGCAGCTCTTGACGATCGCTGCGATACCATAGATGTGTATGTTATTTTTGGTTTGTACTCGTAGTACAGCCCAGAAACAATAGTACACATTTTGTTTTTCTTTTTTTTTTACCTAAAACACACTGACACTGACACTAACTGACACTGATACCAATTTTTATTTTAAACCCTGAACTTTGACCCTGACCTTGACCCAAACACTAACCCTGGCACTGAACTAGATCAAACCTTGATCTAAGTATTTTTTCTTTATTTTTTATTTGATTTTGTAATATTTATTTATTTATGTATTTATTTCTCTTTTTTTTTTTTTTTACAAACATTTTTTTTTCCCCTCCATGCAGGGGTTAGAGAGTTAAAATGTATCTCTCTCCCCACGTTCATACAGAGAGAAAAAAACAAGGGAACCAGTCTGCTGGGCTGTACATTAGATGTTGCCATGGACTGATCACCGTGATAGCCAATCATGAGGCTATCACAGTGATCACTTGACCCGAAATAGGGTTTACTGGTTTCAAGAAGCCGGGTCTGATTGTGGTGTCCTCGCAGAAAAGAGCTATCACCACATTCTTATGTGATCAAGCAACGTGTGCTCCCCAACACTTGCATGAAGCTGGACCCTCAAGGGTTACAAAAAGCCCAGCCTTGATGTTCATGTGTCCACGGTAAGGTATGTGACTGACTGTCTACAAAATGAGAGGAAAGTTTAGCACTGTGCTACTCTCCTAGCGTGGTCGTCCGTAAAAAACTGCAAGAGCACAGCGCAGAATTGCAAGGTAAAGAAGAATACAGGTAAAAGACTTACAGACTATCTCTGGCAAATATTCTGTCTAGTAAACAAGAAACAAAACCACCAGCCATTTCATACGTAGAAGATTGGTTTGAAGATTTTTGAGCCTTTGTTCACAGTGGCAAAATATAATGGTCTGAAACCAAGATTGAGTTGTTGGTGTTTTTTAATGATGCACTATTGTGGAGAAAAAAAGGCACAGCACTACATCAAACTGAAAAAAATCCTTTTCTGTGAAATTGAGATAAGCGGATGGGGAGCATCATGGTTTGGGGCTGATTTGCTGCCTCATGGACGGATTGTTGTCATTGATGGGAAAATAAATTCCAGAGGACATTTTGCAGGAGAAAACGGTACAACCATCTTGAAGCTCCGCAGAGGATGGGTGGATGCAACAGGAAAATGACCCAAATACAAGTAATTCAACAAAACAATGGCTACAAAAACAGCACAGAATACGCCTTTTTGGCCCAGTCAGAGTCCTGACCTCAAACCATTGATGATTGGGTCTTTGTGGCAACATTAAGAGAGCGATTTTCACATAAATCCCAAGAATAATGCTACACTGAAACAGTTTTTGAAAGTGGTCCAAAATGGACTCCAGATCGTTCTTGCAGGTCTTATCTGCAACTAGGAAACTTGCTGCCGAAGGAGGCGTCAACAGTTATTAAGTCAAAGGTTCACATACTTTTCCACCCTGCACTGTGAATGTTTACATGTTATGTGCAATTAAACCATAACATCTAATGTTTGTGTTGTATTATGTTCAGCAGACTGTGTTCTTCTATTGTTGTGACTTAGATGTTCAGAGCACATTTTATGCCTTTCATGCAAAAAATCCACGTAATCCCAAGGGGTTTCACATACTTTTTTATACTGTATCTATCCATTCATACAGAGAGAAAAAAACAAGGGGGCCGGGCTGTACAGTGACTGATCACCGTGTTTGCCAATCAGAGGCTATCACAGTGATCACGTGACCCGAAATAGGGAGTCCCGGGTCCTGATTGTATCAGTGGCACCACATTTTTGTGCTGAGAGCATGCCGTGTGGCGCCCTCCCAACACAAAGACAGGTACGCAAATATGCGACCCCCACGGAAAAAAAAGCCCAGTTCATATTTGCGTTACGTGGCGTTCAAGGGGTTAATGTCTACTTTTTTTAAAAATTCTGTCTAGTACTGAATACGTCTTGGTTGGGATTTGGCCTTTGCACAGTGATATATTCACCAGTAGTTGTTGGTGTTTTTTAATGATGCTTAATATTTAATTGTTGATAAAGAGATAAGCAGATATTTTGAAGGCTTCCTTCACACATAATGGTACTTTTCAACATTCAAATATTGTAACTCTCCATGAAATGATCTCCTCCTTTGGTTGTAGACGTTCCGATTGATGATTTGGGCTAAACAGAAAAATGATTAAATACTGTTTATACTGTATATATAAACTGTCCAAACCTATCTGACTATCTCAGCATATTCTGTCTCTGGTTGCATTGGTAAGGTTCTGGTGGGTGGACTCGTGAACATTAAGTTTGAGTAGGAAATCTCTTCTTGGTCATTTGAGCTGCTGTTTGAGTCCTGTTGCTCCTCGGCATCTTCAGATGTCTGATAATAAAACAAATTAAGAAGAACTGTATAGTTTGTGAAAATATTGTTTTACTAAAATCCCAAGAATGCCATTTGTATAGGCATTTCACCAGTTATGGTTGACCGACCCTTTCCTTCATCAAAGAGCATGTGACAAAGTGTTTTTGGCATTTGGTCACTTGACCGGTTGCTTTGGTATCTCAAAAGTGAAGAAGAAGCACTAACCAGCTGATTTTGTAATAGGGGCCGCCAGACCTCCTTGATCCGGCCGTGTGACGTCAAGGCTCGTACGTTTCGTACGCGTGTACGTCCTCAGTTGGGGTTGCGTATGAAACGTTTTGGAGGAGCCTGCGAGCCTTGACGTCACGCCATGGGATCAAGGAGGTCCGGTGGACCCTATTACAAAATCAGCTGGTTAGTGCTCATAGCAACCCTATGGTTGTCATTTTATTGTTTATGTTTACCGCAAGATTTCTGGTGTATGATTGCACATCCACATGTATGGAAATACCTTTTATTTATACCTTTTATTAAACATTATTTGAGTCTACTACACTATGGGCTTTTCCATCTTTTGCTCTTTACAGAGCGCCTAACCCCCCAGGCTCCCCCTGGCGACCGCTGTACCACACTGAAGAGGCTGCACCCGGGTCCTTAAAGGGGACCTCCGGTTGAATATATCTTGATGACATCTACCTATCCTGGGTCTATCCCGTTCCTATTCTGAGAGGGACCCATTGGCAGACCTCCACTATACTATACACTGCGCATAACTATTGCGCGTCCGGTGAGTGCGCATTTTACCCATAACCTTGCTTCTCTCTATCCATTTGAAGGAATTTTGCACTAAAACATGTGAAGTCACACATAGCTCTATTGTTTAAGAACTTTTTTCATGCATATATGTTTTACAATTTATACCAAGGACCAGGGGCGGACTGACCATTTGAGCACTCGGGCACTTCCCGAGGGCCCTGGGTCAGTAGGGGGCCCCATTAAATGCCCCTGGTGCCTTTTATAGGCTTTTTTTGGTTGTGCTTTGAATATGGGCAAGGACACAGGGGCCCCATGAACCCCTATTGCCCAGGGGCCCCATGAGTTGTCAGTCCACCCCGGCCAAGGACTACTGATTTATTGAAGAAATCTTTATATGTTCAGCGCTGCACTTACCTTGATTATATGTGTTATTTGGAAGGTTTTATGGTTCCCTTTTATTGTGCATAGTCGCTTATTTATATTGAGCGCTCGCTGAGTTATTTTCCCTATATATACACCCCTCGCAGTTATTACCTTTTGTACCACTAGCCCCTCCCTCTTAGATTGTAAGCTCCCAGGATCAGGGCCCTCCTAACCCTCTTGTATTGAACTGTATTGTTGCTGTATTGTCTCCCGTTATATTGTAAAGCGCTGAGCAAACTGTTGGCGCTATATAAATCCTGTATAATAATAATATATAAATCCTGTATAATAATAATAATATATAAATCCTGTATAATAATAATATATAAATCCTGTATAATAATAATAATATATAAATCCTGTATAATAATAATATATAAATCCTGTATAATAATAATAATATATAAATCCTGTACAATAGTACTAATAATAATAATAATAATAATAATAAAAAGAAGGAGGTTTAGTAATGTGATCCTCCATTACACTACTGACCTTGGCTATGGACTTTGGTTTGTTAATATTCATGTACACTTCATCAGGATGTTCCTCTGCCTCGTCTTCCTTGGGAGGTTCCTTAGTTGGATCATACTCCGTATGTACACATACACATATGTTCATTTTGAAATATTTCCTAGAAGTAGTATGAGTGATTAAGTCATTCACATGCAAGCCTCTGGTCGATTTTTATGTTTTGCAACCGTATTTAATAGATACACTGCTAGTTATTTTAGAAGCTTCATCAGTAAAGGGTTAAACTCCTCCAACGTACTCATGGAAGATTATTCCATGGTTTACAGCCCACCATATATACATTTTTACAAGGGAACCAATGGATGTTTAAGGTCTGGACCCAACTATGAAGCAATCATGCTGTAAAAGACTTGTTAGAGGAGTTCTTACTTGTAACAGATTTACATGACAAGACCAGGGCGGACTGACCATATGGAAACTTGGGAATTGCCCGAGGGCCCAGGGTCAGTAGGGGGCCCCATGAGATGCCCCTGGTACCTTTTTCATAGGCTTTTTTGAGTTTGGGCAAAGACACAGGGGCCCCATGATCCCCTATTGCCCGGGGGCCCCATGAGTTGTCAGTCCACCCCTGGACATGACCTTCCTAGCAATGTTTCCATCCCAACACTGCTGATTTCATATAGGGGAACTGAGTTTACAGAGACCTCAGCTCCAGTATGAGTAGGCATAGTAAAATCAACTCATTCTGATAGGCCAAAATGCTTCCTATAAGCAGAATGTTGCCTATAGGAGAAATACAGGTGTGTCCACGGGAAAGGAAAAACTATGGTGGCTCAAGGTGGTTTAAAGCAGAGCTCCACCCAAAAGGGGAAGTTCCGCTTTAAGGACTGCTCCCCCGCTCCCCATTAAGTATTGGCACCTTTGGGGGGGGAGGTACCCAAATTTGACAGGTACCCGCTCCCAGTTCCGATTCCGATCGCCTAGACGATCGGAAACAGAAGGTGTCCTCCCTTGCTTGCTCCCTGTAGTCTTTTGGGACATGTGACAGGTCCCAGAAGACTACAGGACCATTCATGAAGTGCAGCTCTACTCGCGCATGCGCAGTGGGTACCCGGCTGTGAAGCTACAAGCTATCACAGCCGGGTGCCTACACTGAAGATGCCAGCCTCCAGGAATACAGGATGGCCAATGAAACGGGCTGCGGGGGACACACCACGGGACCGAGGGACAGGTAAGTGGCTGATTTTTAAAAGTCAGCATCTACAGTTTGTGTAGCTGCTGACTTTTATTTTTTGACAGGGTGAGTGGAACTCCGCTTTAACCCCTTCACGCCTAAGGGTAAAACAAATCTAAATGCCTAAGCACAATTCTGCAACGTTGACGTGTTAGTAAAACCGTACATATCGTCACAACTACTTTGTACATCCAGGTGGATTATACCTTGTTTTTTTCAGGACAAATTGGGTTTTCATTTGGTGGTAAATGGTCATGGATAGCTCCTAATTTTTTTTTATTATTAAAGGAAAACTGGGCCAAAATAGTAAAGAAATAAATTTTTTTAAAATTAACTGTGTGTTTCTTGTTACGACCATAACCTACCACCAAAGAACAACTCAAAATACATTCTCCAGTTCTTGACGATCGCAGCGATACCATATATGTGTATGTTATTTGTTGTTTGTACCCGTAGTACAGTCCAGAAACAACAGTGCGCATTTTGTTTTTGTCTTTTTTTTTTTTATATAAAACACACTGTCACTGACATTGACATTAACACTAACTGACACTGATACCAATTTTTTTTTTTAAATCCTGACCTTTGACCCTGACCTTTGCCCTTGACCCTGACCTTTGACCCTGACCTTTGACCCTGACCTTTGACCCAAACACTAACCCTGGTACTGAACTAGATCAAACCTTGATCTAGGTATTTTTCTTTTTTTTTTTTCTTTTATTTTTTAATATTTATTTATCTTTTTTTTTTTTTTACAAACTTTTTTTTCTCTCTCTGTGTCAGGAGTTCGAGAGATACAATGTATCTCTCTTCTCCATTCATAGAGAGAGAGAAAACAAGGGGGCCGGGCTGCACAGTGATTGATCACTGTGATAGCCAATCAGAGGCTATCACAGCGATCACGTGACCCAGAATCGGGAGTCCCGGGTCCCGATCGTTAGAACGGGACCCGGGGCTCTCAGTGACACCGCAGTCTTGGTGCTGGGAGCGCGCCGAGCGGCGCGCTCCCAGCACAAAGACAGGTACGCAAATATGCGGCCCCACGGAAAAAAGCCCAGGTCCGTGAGGCCGCATATTTGTGTTACGTCGGCGTCAAGGGGTTAAGGCTTTCAATAGCTTTACTTTTTTTTTTTGTATTATCGCTATAGCCTTTGTGATATATGTTGTGATTTGGTTGATTTAATTTGAGACAATGAAAAAAATGCTTGAGTAACAACTTGGTATTATTAAAGTGCATATTAACAACCTCCACCGGAAGGAAGATTGGCCACTCGCCTCCACAATCTGACCACTGAGCTAACAGTAGGTCATAAGCACTTTCCCTCACTGTTAGCTCAGTGGTCAGATTCTGGAGATGAGCGGCCAATCTTCTGCAGCTTCAGCAGAGCCTAGCAATGTCAGACCAACAATTTCACAGTGACCACAAGTTCCACAAATGTTGCACACATTTTTGGCCTTGAGGGCTATAAATAACTGAAATTTTCCCGTCATGAGTAGTGATTGGCTGTATGTTCGAGTCGAACATTAGCTTGACTCGAGCATCAGCCGTTCATGTGTTCAGCAAACACAGGAACAGCAAAAGCATTTGTCAGGCTGTGTTTGCCCGCTGTGCCCCACAATGCACCCTGACAGTGCATTGTGATTGGCCAAAGCAATGCACCTGACCATAGGTCAGGTGCAATGCTATGGCCAATCACAGTGAATGATGATGTCACAAGTGGCACAGTGACCATGCCCCCTTATGACATCATCACACTATTTCTTTTACAAAGAGCTTTATTGAATATTAAGCAAAGATAAACAAACATTCGGAACATAGATGCAATGACCAACAGTTAGAAATTGTAGCGGATGAGGGGAAGCTAATTCAAGGCATACACTGGAAAAGACATAAGCTGAAAAGTTTACATATGTGTCCTGTAGGAAAAGATGGGGGAAGGGGTTGGGAAAGGACGATTAACAAACCTTTGTGGGTCAATGATAATATAAACTCTAAAGGGGAGTTTTGCTACATCAACATTATAGAGAACGGGAGGGGCACGAGAAGAGGCCTTCTCCAAAAGGTGATACATGTTCAAAACGTAAAAATTACAAAGAAATCCAGATTGCGTTGGTAGTATTGCAGATGTAGCGCAGGCACTATCCGAAAAATATGTTTAAGGACAGATTTGACAGGAGGTTAGGAAAAGACAAACAGTAGAGAGACGCGGACAACAACAACACCAAAAAAGAAAAAAAAAAAAAAAAAAGGGGGGGGGGGGGGGCTCCGGAGCGATCACAGCGAAATCCATCCTCATATCGACAGAAGGGACTGGTCAAATCTCGAAGGTTGAGATACATCCAGCCAGGGACGCCATACCTGCAGAAATTTTGTATGGGTATCCAACAATATGGCCGTCAGTTTTTCATTAACCATTATGAAGTTCATTCGGTTTTTGACAGCCTCAAAACTAAGGAGAGGAGTTTTCCAAGCTCTCGCAATTGTCAATTTAGTTGCCATAAATAAAAAGGATGCCAGCTGCCGTTCAGAACGGAGGAGGCCCTCCAGCGGTTTAAATAGTAGCGCTTCATACGGGTTACGCTTAATGTCTGCGTGAAGGATAGTGCGGAGGAGGGCATACACTCTGATCCATAATCTACTTACTTTAGGGCAAGTCCACCAGATATGAGCCATAGTACCCGATTGTTGGCATCCCCTAAAACAGACTGGGGAATATGTAGGGATAAAACTAGCTAGACGAGCAGGCGTATAATACCACTGGTATAGAATTTTGTAGGCATTCTCAAGAATAATGACGTTCCTAGAACATTTAGATAGTGCTTGGGTCATGTTCTGCCAGTCCTGTGGATCCAAGGTCCCCCCTAATTCAGACTGCCAACGCTGATGATAGGAGCGAACAGGAGGGGTTCTATAAGATATAATGGAAGAATAAATCAAGGAAATCAAACCCGGAGCATGAGGTCTATGTCTGCACTGGCTTTCAAAAGGGGACAGACGGTACGGTCCCGGATGCGTGCGTATTAGTGTATTAACAAAGTGACGAAGTTGAAGATAACCAAAATGTTCTCAGAGAGGGATGTTATAAGAAGAACGCAGAGCGTCAAAGGTAATTATTCTAGTGGGTGATAGGAGCGAATGAACATCATAAAAACCATGCGCTGGCCACCAGGCAAACTGTCTAGGATTATCCCTACCCGGAGGGAATAATGGGTTATGCAATAGACGTAACAGCGGCAGGTGAGGAGAGATAAGGCCAGCGGAATATTTGATAGAATCCCAGAGACGTAGCGAAAGCATCAGCGTTGAACTAAGGGTTGATGGACGTTGAGAGATAGGAAGCCATGGCAAGGAGGAGAGCGGTATCGGGTGAGAGTCCATCATATCTACAACAGCCCACAGGGGGAAGTGGTGAGATGCATGAACATGAGCTAAGGGGGCAATGTTAGCTGCCAAATAGTAAGACTGGAGATTTGGAACAGATAACCCTCCCATACACCGTCGTGCGAATAAGATATGTTTGCTAATTCTGGGTCGAGAAGAGCTCCAAATAAAGGACAAAAGTTTTCGCTGATGAATACGCAATATGTGCGAAGGTACTGGAACTGGTAAGACACGAAATAGATACAGCAGTTTAGGAAGATAGGTCATACGGATTGCATTAATTCTGCCGAACCATGAAAGCGGAAAATGAGACCAAGAGGACAATAGCTCTGTCAACTCATGAAAGACAGTGGGAAAGTTAGCCTGATACAGTCCGTCATATGTCGGGGTAAGCTTAATTCCTAGATATGGTAAGGCCGAAAGCCATTGAAAAGGGAACGTTTGCTCCAAAGTGGTCAAGAGTGATGGTGGGAGGGTAACTGACATAGCTCTTGATTTAGCTGGGTTGACATGTAAGCCTGCATCACACTATTTAAGAACTGTCATCCCGGCACAACTGTCAGACGGCCAGGAGCCAGCATCGAGAGAGGAGCAGTCTTTTTTCTTTTTTTCAGGTCGGCTGTGGTGGTGGGCGATGGATCTACTTCAGGGGACATATCAAAGACTGTTTACTGTCATTTTTACACTACACCTTTTTTTTGTGAATGGGTAGAGTTACCCTGTACCCCATGCTCATTCAGTTAGGGGGGGCAGGGTCTGGGGGCCCCCTTTTTAAAAGGGGCTTCCAGATTCCAATAAGCCCTCCCACCTACAGACCCCCACAACCACTGGCCACGGTTGTGGGGAAGAGGCCCTTGTCCCCATCAACGTGCTTTGGGGGGGAAGCCCTTACTGCCCCAAAGAACCCCCCCCATGTTGAGGGCATGTGGCCTGGTATGGTTCAGTGGGGGGATACTGCTCACTTGACCTTCCGGGCTGCATAGTCCGATAAGGATCTGGTATGGATTTTGGAGGGACCTCCATGCCATTTTTTTAAAATTATGGTGTGAAGGTTCCCCTCAAAATCCATTACAGACTGGAAGGGCTTGGTATGGATGGAGGGGGACCATGCACTTTGTTTTTGGAATTTTTAAATTCTGGGGCAATGCTGAAAATTCTGTTTAGGGAACCCCGCTGACAGCTGAAACAATAAAGAATGTTTTTAGTAGCTGTGTGGTAGCTCACCGCATACTCAGATGCGTTAGGATACCGCTTACTGAATTGTCCCCTCTATTTGAAATTCATGGTTGAACTTTCGTTATGTTTGAATGTTCGACCACAAACCAAACAGGGGGGTGTCCGGCCCATTACTAATCACAAGTGTTCCTATAACAGGTACACAAAAAGCCCTATGTTTGTGCACCAGGACCTTCCTCTTAGCTTGAAACAGAGGAAGGACCTCACAGGCTCTGGCCCAGTGGATCTCCTGCATGGTTGCACTCCATTTGCGACTATAAATTTTGAAATAAATTAGAACAAAAAAGAAAACTGAAAGATGAACCAAAAGAGCAAGACCATTGTTTCATAGGTTATCTTGAACCTTGTTGCCTCCTGTTTGCAGTACAGTAGCACATGATTAACAAATAATAAAATATAGCATTAATAGTAATAAAAAAAAGTCACAAACTGAAAACTATAGTTTTTGTTGCGTATTCAACAAATAATTGCAAAACAATTAAAAAAATTCTCGTAATAGATGACCTTTAAAGTAAGTTATACCGGGTAATGCTACAAAAATAATAGTGATTACTCTTCATCTTTTACTTACCTGGCAATCAGTTTTGAAGCCAGGCTAAAGATAATGACAATGGCCATTCCACACACTATCCCAATAAACAGATACAACCTTCTCACGTTGTTCTCTGTAAAAAAAGATAGATAGATAGATAGATAGATAGATAGATAGATAGATAGATAGATAGATAGATAGATAGATAGATAGATAGATAGATAGATAGATAGATAATAGATAGATAGATAGATAGATAGATAGATAGATAGATAGATATAGATGGATAGATAATAGATAGATAGATAGATAGATAGATAGATAGATAGATAGATAGATAGATAATATAGAGATAGATAGATAGATAGATAGATAGATAGATAGATAGATAGATAGATAATATAGAAATAGATAGATAGATAGATAGATAGATAGATAGATAGATAATATAGAAATAGATACATATGAGATAGATAGATAGATAGATAGATAGATAGATAGATAGATAGATAGATAGATAGATAGATAAATAGATAGATAGATAGATAGATAGATAGATAGATAGATAGATAGATAGATAGATAGATAGATAATATAGAAATAGATACATATGAGATAGATAGATAGATAGATAGATAGATAGATAGATATAGAATATAGAGATAGATAGATAGATAGATAGATAGATAGATAGATAATAAATAGATAGATAGATAGATAGATAATAGATAGATAGATAGATAATATAGAGATAGATAGATAGAGAGATAGATAGATAGCCCGGCCTCTGAAAGTCTTAAAGGGCCGGGAGGCGCCAACGTGAAGGGGTTAATCAAGCCTATACAATGAATAGCCTATCAGGATGACATCATACATATTATACCTTTTCCACAAAGCGGAGTTTTTTATCTTCTGATCTGTTAACTGTGCAAGGGAAAAAAAATATGAAAATGAAGAGCACATAAAATATATTTCTGTTACTTTGTTACCATATAATGTCAATATGTGTAGATTGCTCAATGGCAAAAACATAATATATAATGTGTGGATTTCAATGAAATTCCAGTTACAGTATGCAGACTATAGTGACTTCCTGCATCACCCCCTCTCTGCTAAAAAATGTATTATATTGTGCTTTTGCTAGACGGAAGTAAGCTTAGTAAATGATATGTTCAGATTATTGCAATCATTTTTGAAATCTTTTTAAAACTATAATTAACCAGTTGCCGACAGCAGATAGCCGAATGACGGCTTTACTAAAGCCAACCAGTTCTGGGAGGGCGTCATATGACGTCCTCCCAGAATGCACCCTCCTACATGCCCCCGGCAAACACGCACCCGGCGATCTACGTGATAGCTGTTTCCTACGCTGCCTTTTACCACGTGATCAGCCATGTCCAATGACACAGGAGATCACCGGTAAATGCAGTTGCCGGTTATCGGCTGCACTTTCCTCGCGCTGTCACAGCATGAGGAAAGTATTGTCGATAACCGGCAATTGTCAGAGGAGGGATCGGCACCGGTCATCAGGGCACTGATGATCAGTGCCCTGATGGACAGTGTCCAGCAGTGCCACCCACCGGTGCTGCCCACAAGTGCCCAGCAGTGCACACACACAAGTGCCCAACAGTGCCACCCACCTGTGCCCAGCAGTGCCGCCCAGCAGTGCCTCCCATCAGTGCTGCCCAGCAGTGCCCATCAGTGCCACCAGTCAGGGCCCAGCAGTGCCGCCAGTCAGTGCCATCAGCCAGTGCCACCCATCAGTGCCGCCTATCAGTGCTGTCTATCAGTGCCCATCATTGTTGCATATCAGTGCCAGCTCATCAGTGCCGCCTATCAAAAAAAAAAACTACCTGTTTGCAAAATTTTATATAATAGAAACAAAGAAATAAAATTATTTTTTTCTAAATTTGTGCTCTTTTTTTGTTTACAGCACAAAAAAATAAAACACCCAGCGGTGAGTACATACCACCAAAAGAAAGCTCTATTTGTGTGCAAAGAATGATAACAATTTCATATGGGTGCAGTGTTGCATGACCGCGCAATTGTCACTCAAAGTGCGACAGCGCTGAAAGCTGAAAATTGGCAAAGAGGTGTAAATCCCGTTGCAGGAGTAATTTTTTATTTTTTTTAATCCAAACTTTTTTTGTTTTTTATTGAAAAATGAAGGGAAATACAGGAGCAAAGAGCAGGGCAGTAGACAATCATATGGTTACAAGAAAAATGTACATTGTTCATATATACAGCATACACAGGAGGATTACATCTTTATAGCCTTTTTGTTGCAGAGTTTTAAGATCACGTCAGTAAAAATTTTACAAATTATGTAGAGGATGAGTAGAAGAAAAAAAAGTCAGAGAAGGAAAAGAAAGAAGAGAAGAGCAGAACACACAACGGGAATGATAATAACAGCTGCAGGTGGGCCATCAAGCGGCTCGCTATGGGGGCACTCATGCAGGTTCACTCCCCAAGTCCATTGATACACACAATCCAGCTTGGCCCCACCCCCTGTTCTTTCCTCACAGGCTGTGATTGACAGCGGCAGGGCCCAATGGCCTCCACTGCTGCCTCCATGTCCAGTGAAGAGAGCCGAGGGAGCTGCTGCTCTTGGGCACAGTGCTGGATCAAGATCGGTTTCAGGTCAGTTTTAGGGGGGCTGGAGGGGAGCTGAACTCAGAAGGTTTTCACCGTAATGCAGAGAATGTATTAAGGTAAAAAAAAAACTTTCATATTTTTCAACCACTTTATCTACAACATATCGGTTGCCAGACGTTTTATTATCTTTCTCCAAAGAGCGCATATAAAAGTAACGCAAATGTAACCTTGCCAGGCGATTAGATGCACAGCGCTTTGGTGAACAAATTCTCATTCATTTAGGGTTTAACGCTGCTTTAAATCCTGAACTTTCTGTTTTTAAAGCGATTGCAAAGGTATATATATACCTTTGCAATCACTTTTTCAATATATATATATATATATATATATATATATATATATATATATATATATATATATATATATGTATCATATTGCCAAAAGTGCAATATAAAACAAAAATATACTTTGGGCATTTATTTTTGTTTACTTTAATTAAATTTTTTTATTTTGTTTCATTTTATTTTCTTTTATGTATTTATTTTACTTTTTCCTGACAAATGGCAAGGCAGTTTTTGTATTACATATATATTTAAAAATAATGAAATAAATAATAATAATAAAGATATATATATATATATATATACACCTTTGCAATAACTTATTATTTAATATATATATATATATATATATATAATTATATTATATTGCCAAAAGTACAATAAAATAAACATGTACTTTGGGCATTTTTTTAAAATTATATTTACTTTTATTTTTTTTATTTCATTTCATTGTATTTCTTTTTATGTATTTATTGTACTGTTTCCTGACACACACACACACACACACACACACACACGCGCGCACGCACGCACGCACGCGCACACGCACACGCACACGCACGCACGCACACACACACACACTATATATGCCTTTGGAATCACATTTTATTTCCTTTTATGTATTTATTTTACTTTTTCCTGACATATGGAAGGTCGTTTTTCTTATTACATATATTTAAAAATAATGAAATAAATAATAAACATGTTTCTACCTTGTGGACTGATCTGAAGGTGTTTTTCACTGATCCAATGCTCATCCCATGCCAGGCATCTGTAGGTATCTGCTTCCGACTGTGTAATGGTGATAGCTGACCACACCGAACTTTGACTATTTCCCTTAACCCAGGTCACCTTGGCTGTATTTTTTACCAACTGCTGAGCAATTTAGAATGAGAGATTTTCCTTCTTTAATAAGCAAGGAGTTGTTTGTATCAACCAGTCTGCCTGCATAAAATAGAAGTAACGATTATATTATTTGTCATTGTATGAGGACTAAATAAACATTGATCTAATATGATCCTCAGGAAAACATATTTACTGTACTATTCTTGGACTCTTTTATCTGCTTTTTTTTTAATATTCATTCAGCAAAGAGATGGAGAATCTAAAACAGGGTAAAAAAAAAAAAAAGCCTAGTGCTTCTATTGCTGCTACTGCTGGTTAAAAATAAAAATGCTAAAAAAAAATTGTATTTACATTCCTTTTATTTTTTGAATACCGACCACTATAAATATTAATGAAGACATTAAATATGTAAAAGGTCACTTATACATTTCCTTTTAGACTTCCTCAAGGGATAAACACCACTTATGATTTGCCAAAGTTTTTTTTTTTACAGGTATTCCTGTTGCTGTTTTAGCTGACTCTCACTAACTCCCTTATCTGGATTTGTATTTTTTATATAACTCCTTAAGATGTTTACAGGTTCTAATCACGTCCTTCTGTTGTTCTCACAAAGTTTACTTGCAAATATTAGATGATGAGTGGGGGCCCTCAGAAAGAGGTTAAAGAAGTTATTGAATCTTCCTTCTGCTTTATGTATACCCATATGGAAGAAAAATAAATTTGAAATATATTTAAAAAATATTCTTTCCAAATATATTACCATATATTTGAAAATATATTTTTTTAAAACATATTCTTCAGATTTTTTTAACATATAAAAAATAATTTTAACACATATTTTTACATTTATTTGTAAATTCATTCCAAAAATGTAGATTTGTACTTATAAAGACATACAGTATATTTGAAATGTATTTTTAAAAATATTTGTTATAAATTCTGTAAAAAAAAATGCATTTCAACATGCAGTATGTATATATATATATTTTATTTATTTATTGAAATATATTTTGAAATATATTGAATATGGCCAAAATTGTAGCATTTCAAATATATGGCAATATATTCGGGAACAGTATTTTTTAAATATATTTCAAATATATTTTTCTTCCATGTGGGTAATAAGAACAGATAGTGAGTTAGGTCAACTTTCTAACAATGGTATTATTTTCTGAGTTAACTGATTGCTTTTATTTGATACTTACTTAGTGTCCTTTCACACGAGCGTTCCATTTTTTTCATCAGTTCAGTCATATTTTTTTCAAGTTCACATCAGTTTTTCATCAGTTTACATCCTTTTTTTTACACCCTTTACCAATGCAAAATGACCGTATGTTCGTTTACATCCATTTACATCAGTTTTTCATCAGCTTACATTTGTTTTTTGTCCGTTCCATTTTTTTTGTAAAGGAAGAAAAATAGAGTTTTCTTCCATTCAAAAAAACGCATGTTAACAGATGCGGACATTAACGGATGTAAACAGATGATCATCCGTTTACATCCGCTAGTCAATGGAAATACATAGGTGTCCATTTTTCATTCGTTAACGCACAGATGAAAAATGGACATACGGAACGCCCGTGTGAAAGGGGTCTTACTGTACTTATTTTCAAAAATGGTTCAAGTTTCAGTTTAAAACCAGTTAAGAATTAAAAAAAAAATTTTAACCACTTCCCTTCCGGCCCATGTATATAAACGGCCGGACCATGGCAGTGCAGGGGAGGGTGGCCGCTTATAAACGGCCTCCCTGCCCCCTGCTTGTGTGCGCTCCCTGGAGCACGCAGCACCGCGATCCGGTGCCCGCTGTGTCCTCCAGTGGAACACCGGTCATTATACGGGACCTCTGTGCGAGGTCCCGATCATGTGATCACTGATTGGCCAATCAGTGATCACATGAAGAGTACTAAGCACGATGTCACTTCTGATATCATTGTTTACTACTAGTGAAATCTGTGAATGATCACAGAGGTCACATGGTACAGGGCTATTCACAACAGTTTTGTACCATGTGACAAGCTGTGACCAATCACAGCTCACACAGTATTTCTCAATGGCTGTAAGAATGCAGCCAGAGAGAAGGAGAAAGGATTGCTATTACAGCCTCTATGGGTGTAAAAGCAATCAGTGTAAAAAAAAAAAATCTTCATAACCCCCCCCCACAAGTAGTACACTGTCACCATGGTGACACTGTATTGCTAGGGTGACAGTATGTAAAAAAAATAATAAATAATAATATAAAAAAAATAAAACATTTAAAAAAATTATCATTTTTGGTTATAAACTAATTTGGGTCATTTATTTGTTTACTAAAAAGATAACTGAATACATTTTGGCCGAGATGTATGAAGAAAGATTATTTATTTGAAAATTTTATAAGAAAAACACTTTTTATTCAAAATGTTTAGACTTTTTAATTTATATTGCAAAAAAAAAATGGTGAATAAATACCACTAAAATAAAGTTTTATCTGTCTCAAAAAATGCTAAAAAATTCATATGGGTGCAGTGTTGCATGACCGCGCAATTGTCATTCAAAGCGTGATAGCGCTGAAAGCTGAAAATTGGCCTGGACTGGAAGGGGGTGAAAGTGTCCGGACTGGAAGGGGGTGAAAGTGTCCGGACTGGAAGGGGGTGAAAGTGTCCGGACTGGAAGGGGGGGAAAGTGTCCGGACTGGAAGGGGGGTGAAAGTGTCCGAACAGGAAGTGGTTAATAAGCCGTTTCTACTTACCTGAATCCACTATCATGTGACCCTCCGTGGTGCCTTGGACGTAAAGACCGTTGATCCACTGCTATAGTCTGGGCCTACTGCCAGTTGGCAATCTCATTGTTATATCTAGTGACATCACTATGCTACTGTTGGAATCTTCAAGACTGCTAGGACTCCCCCCCCCCCCACCATGGACCCAAGGGGAAGTGTCCACATCACCAGGATGGGACGTGGGCACATGAAGAAGGAGAGAAGTCTCCAGATCAGGGGCGGACAGACAACTCATGGGGCCCCCGGGCAATAGGGGATCATGGGGCCCCTGTGTCCTTGCCCAAACTCAAAAAAGCCTATGAAAAAGGTACCAGGGGCATCTCATGGGGCCCCCCTACTGACCCCAGGCCCTCGGCCAATCCCCAGGGGATTTATTTATTTATTTAACGAGTGGTGCGATTAACTAGATGGGGGGTGGGGGGTTATTGTTTCCTGAAAGGCTTTAAGGAATGAAATGTAACCTACCATCTTCCGACGTAATGACGACTTCTGGTTTCTTGGGTGGGTCTGCGAAAAAATAGCAAATAAATGTTAAAGTAAACCGTGGTGATAGAGGTTAATCACATTCTATGGGACGTCTAAATATTTTAAGTTGAACAAAAGCATGCTAACTCTCTTTATTCACATAAACTGTACAATCTGCTAGTATGGGTTTAGATTGGGGGTCTCAAAACTGTCTAAACAAAGAGCCAGTTTACTGTCCTTCAGACTTTAGGGGGGCCGAACTGTGGCCAGTGGGAGTAGAAAATGTCCTTCTGTCAGTGAGAGTAAACAATGTCAAATACTGCCCCATCATTGGTGTCAGTAGAAAGAATAGTTCCCCATCATTGGTGTCAGTAGAAAGAATAGTGCCCCATCATTGTTGTCAGTGGAAGAAATAGCACCCCATCATTGGTGTCAATGGGAAGAACAGTGCCCCATCATTGGTATCAGTGGAAGGAATAGTGCCCCAACATTGGTGTCAGTGGGAAGAATGGTGTCCCATCATTGGTGTCAGTAGAAAGAATAGTGCCCCATCATTGTTGTCAGTGGGAGGAATAGTGCCTCATCATTGGTATCAGTGGGAGGAACAGTGCCCCATCATTGGTGTCACTGGAAGAAATAGCACCCCATCATTGGTGTCAATGGGAAGAATAGTGCCCCATCATTGGTATCAGTGGGAGGAATAGTGCCCCATCATTGGTATCAGTGGAAGGAATAGTGCCCCATCATTGGTGTCAGTGGAAGGAATAGCGCCCCAACATTGGTGTCAGTGGAAGGAATAGCGCCCCAACATTGGTGTCAGTGAGAAGAATAGTGTCCCATCATCAGTGTCAGTGGGAGGAATAGTGCCCCATCATTGGTGTCAGTGGGAGGAATAGCGCCCCATCATTGTTGTCAGTGGAAGGAACAGTGCCCCATCATTGGTGTCAGTGGGACGAATAGTGCCCCATCATTGGTGTCAGTGGGAGGAATAGTGCCCCATCATTGGTGTCAGTGGGAGGAATAGTGCCCCATCATTGGTGTCAGTGGAGGGAATAGCACCCCATCATTAGTGACAGTGGGAAGAATAGTGTGCCTCATCATTGGTGTCAGTAGGAAGAATAGTGCCCCATCATTGGTGTCAGTGGGAGAAATAGTGCCCCATCATTGGTGTCAGTGGGAGGAATAGTGCCCCATCATTGGTGACAGTGGGAGGAATAGTGCCCCATCGTTGGTGTCAGTGGGAGGAATAGTGCCCCATTGTTGGTGTCAGTGGGAGGAATAGCACCCAACAGTAGCTCAAACCACAGAAAAACAGAAAGAAGAGCCAGACAAAAACCGGAGGAGGGTCCAAGACCATTTTCATTATTGGTAAAAAAAAAGTCATATAAAAAACAGTCAACGCATTTCAGGAGCAACACCACTTCCCCTTTATCAGAGCTCAACACAGGATAAAACTTGGATGGACTCAGAGAAAACAGCGACTTCACAGATTTATATCTGAACCGGAACTGAACTGTCCACCTGGAGCAACAAGTTGACCATTGCTGCTCATCAACTGCTGTCCACATGGGGCAACAACATGGAGTTGTTGCTCCATGTGGACAGTTCAGTACTACATAGTTACATAGTTAGTCTGGCTGAAAAAAAGACAAAAGTCCATCCA